GAGGTTTGGATAATTCACGTATACTCTAGTGTATCTGCGTGTAAGTATGCCAACGTGAAATAATAGGTTTGCGAGACTACACATCTCATACATGTATGCTAACGTCCGTACGCAAAACTGGTAATAAGCAAAAGTAATAAGAAACAAGTTTAATATCAGCCGCGGGTCATCAAGGCTTAATGACCCAAGGAAATAAGAAAAGAAAAAAGTATAATCGAGATTTGGTTAGTCAGTAAGCAACCCTAGTTAATAGAAGTTGTTTTACCTTGGTTTCGCAACTTGGTCAGATTAGCAGGAAGACCTAAGGGAACGAATCTTGCCCCGAGTCCATAGTATCCATGAGCATTTTCAGAGTCGGACCGTGGACTTGGTACATTCCCAGACGTTTTGCCGGCATCGTAGTCAGCATCATCAATAAGTCTTGCCATTCTCAGCAAACCAAGCTACAACTCGTCAAAGAGACAAATGATTTTAAGAGACATTTCTATTCAGATAGGGTTAATAAGATTCCTCACCAGACTTCCTTGCATAAGTTACATGAAACCTATGATATCGAAAGGAATAGGCTATTTAAGTTTATATATATTAAATCAAGACTCCGGCGTGATCTGGCCAGGATTCTGACTCGGGAGGATTTTTACAAACTCCAGAGTATGAGCGCCAAGAAATCACTTAGTATCTCCGACTTAACAACAAAAAATACGACAATAAATTGCTTATGTATGGAATTATGAGATAACGTAAACTCAGTGCGCCCAGTTGAAGGGGCTTCCAAGGTGATGACACCTACTGAATAGTACAACGAATGAAATAAGCTGGTAAATTTATCTTCGTTTCACCTTGATCCTAAAACCTCTACGATCCTAAAGAAAGGATCTTTAAAATTGCATATATATTCTAGAGGACATTCTGGTTGAAGTCACCGATATCTCCTACAACTTACCTCAGGAGACAAAACGGGAAATGAAGATGAAAATAATCTCTATAATCTTGACACATTATGAACCAATACACAAGAACAGATTTGCGAGGAAATGAAGAACCCTGGAAAAGGATGAACAATTGGTCCTTCATGCGAGCAAAGGAGGAGCTACAGTTGTAATGGACAGAAAACAATATAGATAAAATGGAATGTATACTACCTATTGTCTACTAAAGAAAGACTATGAAGATCAATGGAACTCTACGGGACATGTTTAAAGATAAGCACAGCAACGGGAAGGTCAATGGATGGACAATAAATTCACTAATAAAAAAGGATGCACGCCCACAAACAGCCTACGGGTTACCGTATTAATACAAAGAAAGAGAACAACTAAAGTTGATAATTAACATCATGTTTGGAGCAACACACAAATTAGCCAAGTTCATATGTCTGAAACTTAAGAAGGCATGATCGAAGAAAGTGTCAGAGGTTCCTTGAGAACTGTCTATATATCCCACTTCCTCACTAGTTCCCCGAGCATCTTAGATATAAAACATGATGGAAAGATTATAACATGAGAAAGGGTCTCAGCTTGCCTATCTCTGACTAAATAATCTCCACATGAAAAGTTATTCTTAATTAAAAAGATATTATTATCAGTTAAGACTTATGTTGGCGAGACCTGTCGGCCGAGCCGCTAAGGATCAACCAAGCACAAAAATGCTTGTAAATGCAGCTGGGTCGAACGGTCAGAAGTGGAGGAACACATGACAGACTGGGCATAATCAGCAAGTCTCTGTGTACGAGACAACAGTACCACAACATTTGTGGGTTTGCACACAATATACTAGGGCAAGTCATAGACTTGGTATTAGGAATAGAAACTGAATACACGCGGCGGAGACTGGAGCTAGCTAGATGACAGTAGGTTTTACCAG